TGAACACCAGTGTTAGTGTGTTTAATAGTTATTTTTGATAATATAAGAAGTAGCCATGAATATTAAAAAAAATAATTTTTAAACTGTTGCATATTTTAAGAAACAATTTTTAAGCGCAGGAAGTCAGCTTGGCTATATTTTTGAGTCATTGGTTCTGTTCAGATAAAAAAACTTCACTTAATATTTTTTTTTAACTGTAAATAGTGTTAAAATATATCAATCAGAACCCGCTTGTGGGATTCTGAACTAAGCAAATGCATCAGCAGCTTTGCAATATATATGAGGCTTTGTAGCTTTGCAATATATACGCATATGAGGAGAGGAATGAGCATCATAAATGCGCGGGCAGGAAAGTTCCTGCATTGCACCGAATACTAGAATGGGAATCCCTTAAATAACAACCTTGGAAGTGGCTATTGCTGAAATTGTCAATTCGCCCATAAGTGGTTTGATTATCATAGCACACGCCATAATTTTCAACGCCATGTCTCCTGAAAATATCATCAACGAATGCTGCCAAGGATTTAAACATCTCACATTTTGTACGCCAACTTGAAGTGCAAGAGCTCCACGAATCTTGCAAAAGAAATTTTATTTTTCCTGAAGGAGGATTTAAGCAGTCTGGTTTCTATTAAATTATTTAAATGGCATGGCATTTTGGAAAACTTAATAGAATGCTGATACATTTTTTTCTAAAAGTCTTTTTAGTACTTATTTCAGTGAATTTAATATATATATATTTTTATTTGGGGAAAATGATTCATTCGATTATTATGTACAATTGCATGTTATTGCACATATCAATGTGCGATAAATATATTTCATATACATTGCGAAACAACTTTTTAATTTGTGATTATGCATATTAATTCACTTTTCTAGATAAATACTGTACTTAATTATTCAAATTTAGTTGATAGCCTCACGTGCATGAAAATAAACTCGATTAGAATTGCATAAACAATCAATAATCTTTCACCTTTACGAGTTTTATTTCATATTTTTTCCGGTAGATGGCTCTACTGCTGTCAAATTTTGTTCAAATTCCATGACTATTTATGTGTGTTTAAATTTTGTTAAGCATAATTATATCCCTAATTAAGAAAAAAGTTTTATTACATTTTATATTAATTTAAAAAAAGTGAAAATAAGAATATTTTGTAATTTTTTTTTGTGTATTAGATAAAAAAAAATTAAAATTTTATAGATAAAAAAATTGATTTATAAATTTTATTTTTTTTTTTTTAGTTTTACTGGAACACATACATACATACATACATGATAACACATTCATGTATGCATGGAAAGAACGAATGCATGTATTATACAAATGATAATGCATGCATACATCTTTTCTTATATTCTCATAAAAATAAATGAATACAAAGCACTGCTATTTATTTCCATTTCCTTTTTGAAAGCATTATGGAAACATCCTTGTTTTATCATTCATGAAATTTATTCAACATATCAGTTGCAGTATGGAAATCATGCAAAATCTTTTCGTAATATAACCACAAAAATTTATCGAAGTTACTGTGTTTGAGAATAATGTAAATCTCAAATGAAAATGACGAATTCAATAATTTATATAATACATCAAGATTGCTCATGTCAATGCTTTTTTATTGGAATAATCTATTTTACTTTAGTAAAAAGTTTTAACTGCATTTCTTAAAAACATTTCAAAAATAATATATAGTATGGTATTTTAAAATTATAGTACTATATTAAAAGTATAGTATGATCCAATAAACTAATTTTTAGTATAGTTCGCAGTAAATTAATATCTTACTTAGTAACTTAGGAGCCTGATGGCCGAGTGACTAGCTCGGTGCCGCAGGTTTCGGGTTCGAGTCCCAGCACTGCCATGGATGTTTGTAGTGGTTCGGAATCCACATTAAATCGTAGGTCCCGGTCTAAAGAGCGTCGGGCTGACAACCTTACCCCGTAAAAAGAAAACCTCTCGAAATCTGCCAGTAGGCAGGCGGCCTTGGCCCATCATGGGGCTGTTATGTCACTAATGACGATGAATTATTAACTTAGAAATTAAAAAAATTTTGCTTATTGAGAAGCATTCATTTTTTACAACTCTTTTCAATTACTGAATATCTTTTCTTTCAAATTGCACAAAAAATATACTTCAATTACATTAATATATATTAATAATATGTATAGTAAATATATATTATATAATAATTAACATAACATCATATATATTAAGTGTAAAATTTACAATTCTATAATCACGCGATCCTTATTCAATACTAAATATGAAAATTAAAGTGAGAAAACAGATCATAATTTCAGAAATATTTAAAAATTTTGTGGTAAAATTTATATGCTACACAGAAAATTAAAAAAAACCCTGATTAAATTAGAATAAATATGTTTGATGCTATGGTAAGTTTTCGCCAGATTCTATTGAATGCTTACATACTGTGCTCAAAAAGTAAGACCAATTATTTTTTTTTTCAAAATCTCTTTATTTATTCTTCATATTTATTTCATCATTTAATTCAGACATTTCAAAAATCGCCGGAATCAGTTTTAGCGTCTCACAAAGCCAAGCGTTACTCAAGCACTAATGAATATTTTGACGTCAAATTTCACACAGCTGTCAAGGACAGTGCCAGCAACACCAAAAAAATTTGAAATTCCATAATCCCCGGGAATTTTAAATTGAAAATGGGTCTTACTTTCTGGACACAGTAGTACATCATTTTGCCTTCAATTATGTTTGTTGTTGTATGCGAACATCGATTACTTCTATTATTGTACCTAATTCAACTAATTCATACATATCATTGAATGACTCGTTAAATTAAATGCGTCGTATTTTTATATCTTGTATATCTCATTCAATTTTTCTTGTCTTTTCTATTCAATTCCGCTCTCCAAGCAAGCAACATTTACTTTGTATTTTCTTATTTAATAAACACAAAAAAAGAAAGTTTTAAATTGAAGTCACCGAAATTCATCAACCGTTTTCGAAATTCATAATCATTTTCTGTTCTTTCACAACAGGAAAAAACCCAACAACAACATGTTAACCACTACTAACAAAAAATAAAACATCTTTTACAGAAGTTTATGACGCCTTAATATTCAAAACTCAAGAAACAACTCCAATAAAGTGAATCATTCTTGTTATTGGTTTTACCAAAAGAAAGAATAACAACATAAACAGGGGAATCGCTTAATGTCATTAAAGCGCGGTGAGCTGATGCGTTTCTCCGTCTTTAAAAACAAAAAGCTGTCCGGGCGAATTATCATTAACATCTTGACATTTAAGGTAATGCGGCCGCGAATGCTTTTATGGGGCCCCTTCGCGCAGTGCATGATGGGCCTCGCGTGCGGCCCCGGTAAACACCGTAAATCTAATGACGCCGACAAGCGCAGTGTTTGCTGGGCCCTATGTAAAAAAAAAGTATCATTTGAATTTCGACTCGACAAACCATTCTTTTAGTTTTTCGAAAGGTATTTTCCACCCTTGATGAAATTGATATTAATATTTTCTTTTGTACAAAATTGGATAACTTTTAACAAAGGGGAAAAAATGTGGTAAAATTGCCTTAAAATTATAATTTAAATGAATGTGAATGGTTTTAATAAATTTTAATTTTAATAAATCATGTTAAGGTTTATTCATTTTAATGAATGAACTAGTTAACAAGTAATATAAAAAAATTGCAATGCAATTGCAATTGCTTTATGCAATTTCTATAATAATATAAATAATTTCCTTAATAAATAATTTTCATTCATTTTTTTTATGTTTATCTGGTGCCATCTATTGGTAGATGCATGCAACTTAAATCTAAAAAAAACTCAAATTAATTAATTAAAGTTAATTACTGAATGAATGTTTGTAAAAACTGTATTAACATCAAGTATCATCCACTACAAGTTCAAAAAAAATGTATTTGAACGTGAGTGGATGAATAAAAAGTATTTTATGAACGATTGAAAATTTGAACAAGATATATATAGGGAGAGTGTGAGTTAATAGAAGGAATTGCAAAAGGGGATAAAGTTGCCTTAAAATTACAATTTAAATGAATGCGAATGGTTTAATAAATTTTCATTTTTATAAATTATGTTAAGTTTAATTCATTTTAGTGAATGAATTAGTTCGTGACTTCAAAAATAGCATTGGAATTAACAAAATTATTTAAAATTTAAAATAATTTTGAATTTGAAAAACAAAAATCCTTGGAAAACAATGAAACGATAAAACTAAAACATGCATCATACCAACACTAGAAGAAGCATTTTGTCTTATAATTTGTCTTTGAATGATATGTTGGCTTACAGCATGCTTTAAATAATAATATAACTCTCAGGATAAAAATTTTGCATTCTAATTTTTATTGAACTATGTACACCTAATAGTCCAAGTGAAATCGTCTATTCTTCAATTACTTACTACTTACTTATTCAGTCTATACTTATATTTGAGAAATTCAACTTCGAAATATCTCTATTTTAGTGCAACCACGATTTATTTGTCACAACTGTGTCCTTTATGTTGGTGTGTTCATTTATAGATTGTAAATTAATAGTATTTTCTGGTACTGGACATTTTGACTTAACTTTCATAGAATGGTAGATGCGTAGCCTATTCAACATTACCGAAGGTACAGCATGGATGTGGCCAGTACACTGCATTAGCACTTTGCAATCCAACAAACATACCTCTTCTCGAGTGCAATCGACCTATGTTGTTGTTGTTTCTTATCCCACTTGGCTGGCTAAGCCCACGAGCCCATATGGACTCATGATTGAAGGGGAAGGAAGCAGCTTTTGTTGTGATGGAGCACCCGTAGGTAGAAGCCTGACTTTTGCTCCGTGACGCTCTTACAGTCATAGAAGACCGGGACCTACGGCTTAAAGTGGATTCCGAACCACTACAAACATCCATGGCACCGCCGGGATTCGAACCCGAAACCTGTGGCACCGAGCGCTAGACACTCGGCCATTCAGGTCCCAAATTTGCCAACGGCACGCAGTGTTCCCAGGTGGTCACCCACCCAAGTACTGACCGCGCCCAATGATGCTTAACTTCGGTGATCTAACGAGAAGCAATCGACCTATAGATTGCATTATTGTTTATAACAGTTCTAATATCTGGTGTTTTTAGCTAGTAAATTGTAGCATTGGCGCTCTCTCCTTGGCGAGACAGTGCCAATAGATAGTTCTCGGAACTATCCATTAGTGAATAACAGAATAATTAGTTAGTAGTAACTATCTCTAGCGATAGCTGTCTTAACTATCTGTACAAATGTAAATAATTAACTATGTATAACTATCATATAAAGTCAGTGCAGATAAACAATTACATTGGTGGGGCTGAAGTCTACTCGAAGTTTGAATTTTTCAGTAAAATAATTTTTTCTAGTGTTTTTAAATAATCGCCATCATTATTGATATTTTTGTAATAAGATATAAGCGTTATGCATTGTTGTTTGCTTACTACCTTTCGCAGCTAGAGTGGAATTTTTTTAATTTGAAAGGAGGTTCCGAAAGAAAAATGTTTTAAGAATCTCTGTTCTAAAGAACAGAAAATCGTTTTCCTAGGATCTAGGAGAATTGTATAAACGTATTTATAACTTTTCGGAAGCTAGTCATTTTTCTGTGGACAGAAAGAGATATCACAGCTTCTATTTCAATAGCAAATAGAAATAAACATTAAAATTGTCCTTAAATACAAAAATACTTTTACGAAGAGCCATGATAACTATCGATATCGATTTACTTATAGAAACGAAGGCATCTCTTCAAGTAATCGAATCTAAGTAAAATAGTTAACCAGAATGAATGATGGAAATTTTCTATTCGAAAGAAAATTACAATTACATCTAATTATGAGCTGCTTAATTATATCATTTTACCCGGTTGAACTAGCGTGTTAATTTATAAGGAACGTTGAAAATTAAAATATATATTTAACTATATATCCTAATTTTCTATTCATATTAGTAGAAATATTTGTTGGATATCATCAAATATTGTACAACATTCTTTTATTCAATCAATCATATACATTGCTGTTCAATAGAAAGATGACGTATTTGGCACGTGGGGGCGTGATGGCCGAGTGTATAGCGCTCGGTACCACAGGTTTCGGGTTTGAGTCCCTGCGGTGCCGTGGTTGTTTGTAGTGGGTCGTAAGTCCCAGTCTAATAGGATCGTAGAGCGTTGTAGGAGTAGTGTGACTCGCATCCGTAGCCTATCTTCAAGCTACACGCGTCACCTAAATAGTGCTAAATGAGTAACAACGTACAGCCCCTTGTTTATGGCATAAAGATGAATCTGAATCTCTATATTGCCAGCTGCATTAGAACAACGTATTCGGCCCGAAGATAAATGAAGTCGTTAAAATGTGTACAATACATTAAATAAAACATGGTTTGTATATTATTATTCCATAGTTTGTTTAGTAGCAATGTAATAAATAAATACAAACTGATAAAAAATAAATTTAAATTGGTATTAAATGAAATAGTTAGGATTTTTATGGCATGCTTTTAAAATGAATACCTCTATGAATTGTTACATTATATCTGATCCATCTGATTCGCTTTAAATTCCTTCAAAATTATTTAGAGGGAAAAAAAAACTTTTTCAAATTTCTATTCCCTTCACTTTTAAAAAATTTCGCATGCCAATTTTAAATACTTAATTTAATATTCGATGTAAATGTGACAAAATACAGTCTTTGATAGTATCTAGCACACACTATTTAATAATAAATAAAAAAATTTACTTTTGTATTCTTTTTCTTGAAATAGAAATGCACATTTTTCATGCATAAAACATGATCAAATCCATGGATATTTTATTTCTTTGCTTCAACCCAGGGATTCCAATAAATTAGTCTGATTTGAGAAAATATATTTCTCGGAAACACTGTTTAAATTTGCGAAATGCAAAAATTGGGTCCCTTTTTAAAAGTCCTTAATCCCTCTGAGTGCCATGCACTTTTCCGTAATTATTTACTCCATTGCTCATACTTTCTGCTTAAAGTGAAAGAAAATACTCTTTATGAAGTGAAATGAGCAATTTAGAAGAGATTTTTTGGAAACGCGCGATGCACGGGGGTTGTTCTGAGAAGATTGCGTCGATAATGGCAACAATCCTTGACTCTTAAGAAAGAAAAAGAAGTCGTCTTTACACCCAATTATGAAGTCTCCGCGCAAAACGCAGAAGTGAATTGGTTCGTTAGTTTAAATAGGGAAGCGATGAGAAACATTTTAGTATGGATTGGAGTCAAAAAGAGAAAAGTGATTATGAATTATGTTGCTCTTTTTTTTATAGTGTAAGAAGAATACCAAATCAAAATGTTAGAATAGTGTGTTATTTTTAGAAAATATTCAATGATTTTTTTTAATTAGGGTGCAGAATTCAAACAGAAATTGATTGTCGAAAAACAAACGGTTTAATAGTATACGCTTATTTTTTTTCAATTCCTTCTATTAGCTCACACTCAAATTTTCAATCGTTCATAAAATACTTTTTATTCATCCACTGAAGTTCAAATTCATTTGTAGTGGATGACACTGGATGTTAATACAGTTTTTTTCAAATATGAATTCGGTAATTAAATTTAGTTCATTAATTTTAGCATTTTTTTAGATTTAAGTTGCATGTATATACCAATAGATGGCGCCAGATAAACTTAACAAAATAAATGAAAATGATGTATAAAGGATATTCTGCAATATAGTGAAAAAGAAATAATAGTGAATTTAAATTTTTTTTTTTTTATATTACTTGTTTATATTGTCAGAAGAATACCAAATCAAAATATTTGAATATTTTATAAACATAACACACTATTCTATGATTTTATTAATTAGGATACAGAATTCAAACATAAATTATCTAAAAATAAATAGTATTTACTTTTTTTTTTAACATGGATACAATTAGTTGACACGAGCTTGCTTTTCGTTATAAAACGTTTCCCCCATTTAATTTTTGAAAGCATTCACTGTTTATATTTAATAATTCTGTAATTCAGATTTGAGTTTTTTTTTTAATACGTACAACTATTTTATTTTAATAACAGCTTAAGCATTAGTAAGAACATTCGATTCCAACTTGAATTTTCTAGTGAAAAATCTGGATTCATGATTTATTTGTGATAAAGAATATAACAATAAATTTCCTGAATAAACTTTTACTAGAAATGAGAGGATTCTTTACACTTAACACAAAAGCAATTTATTTCTTATGTGGCAGAGCAAAAAAGGATAACCCTAGGTAAATAAAATTTTTATTGAATACTTCATTTAATGTACAGAATTTGAATTTAAGATTTGTGCACATTCAGTATTGCACTAAATACACACCCTATCATCATGCTTGTAAACCTTCAATAATATAATTTAATTAGTTTTTCTTTTCACATAATTTTTGTTGAAATTGAATTTCAAATTTTTTTCCCTAACATAAAAGTATTTTTGGAAATAAGAGAAACAAAATATTCAGTTTGTCCATTAATTCGTAAATATGTATGCTTGAGGAAAAGAAATGAGTTTTGGCAATGAATTACTTGTTGCAGCTTTTCGTGTTCCATATCACGAGTTCATCCTTGACTATAACAAGAAAACAATTTAATAATATATAAAAAAAAATTTAAAGTCAATTCCTACTGTTTTTCGCTCTATTGCAGAAAGTCCTTTATAATTTTCATTCATTTTTTTTAATTTATCTGGTGCCCTCTATTGGTAGATATAGGCAACTTAAATCTAAAAAAAACAACTAAAATTAATGAATTAAATTTAATGGGTGAATTAATATTTGAAAAAAAAACTGTATTAACATCCAGTGTCATCCACTACAAGTTCAGAAAAAATGTATATGGAGTTGAGTGGATGAATAAAACGTATTTCATGAATGATTGAAAATGTGAACAAGATATATATAGGGGAGAGTGTGAACTAATAGAAGGAATTGAGAAAAACAATGGTGTGTTCTTTATTAATTTTAAAAATATTTCTATTTACTCCTCAAAACATCCATCTGTTGATGTTTTCCATCCATCTGGCTTTGAAAACGGATCGCTCACATTTCTTCACGATCAAGTGATCAACAGAAGATTAAACTGCGGAAAGAATTTTATTTTTGAAGAAAATTACACCATTTTTAAGAAATGAAAATAATTTGTTCTACTGCTGCACATAAAATTGAAATTTATGCTTATAATAAGTTTAAAATACAATGCAAAAAGATTAAAAAAAGTAGAATTCACTTTTGAAAACTGATTGAGTGCAAAAAATTCCTTCCATCTATAAAATACTCAAAATTATTTTTTTTAAAGAAAAAGACTTCTTTAAAACATTTCACTGCAATAGAAAATAAAATGAATTTGCTATAAAACACTTTCAACATCAAACGGCCTTGAAAACGATGGACATAAAAACATGTTTAGAAAGTACAATAGATTGATTAATGAAAAGGTGCTGAGAAAGAATCTTTGTGTTCAAGCTACAAAAGTAATCATTTATCAGTTCTGTCATGCCATTATACAAATGGAGGACATGAATTAAATTCCATTCCACCTTGGAGAAAACCTTGTTAAAATAAAACTAAGAAAACATATGGAAATCTAGGGATTTTTATTTCTATGTTATTTCATTAAATTTTTGTTTAAAAAAGGAACTAAAAAAACGGAAAGAAAGAAAAATATTTAAATATTTTGACAACAAAAATGATTCTAGTTACTAGACAAACTAGATTCAAGTTAGAATCCCTTTTAAAGTAAGAAATAGTTAGAACGTAAAATTATAAAAAAAAAATTTCCTTTTCAAAATCAATAATTCAATAAAAAAAAAAGAAAAGTCTTTATGTTTGCTTTTGGGAAGAATTTTTCAACAATGTATAGGCAACTATTTTTATGTTTGCTTTTGGCATACTATAGACACGTCGTGTTCAGCATGGGAATTTCAGATGACTATTGTTCCACCGCTGGCAATGAAAATTCGAAATCAAAATGTGTTATACACTGAAGTGACAAAAGTCATGGGATACCTCTTAATATCGTGTCGGCCCTCCTTTCACCCGGCGAAGTGCAGCA